GGGAAAAATGAGGACCTAATGCTGGGGGGCTTAAGTGGAGAGGAAATGTTTTGAGAATGATGAGGGCAATGAATGTACAAATGCCCTTTACACAATTGATGTATGTATGGCTTGTGATAAGAGTTGTATGAGCCCCTAATAAATTAAAAAAAAAAAAAGGAGATCGGTAAAACATAGTCACTGTACCACAAAGAACTAGTCCACAATCCACCATTTCAGGAGGCAGCATATGAGCTGAAGGAAGTTCAAGCTATACTGAAAGCACTGGCCAATAACAAGGAAGGGTATAGGAATTGATGGAATACCAATGGAAATGTTTCAGTAAGCTGAAGAAGCACTCACTCATCTAGGCCAGGAAATCTGGAAGACAGCTACTTGCCAACTGACTGGAGGAGATCCATATTTGTAATCATTCTAAAGAAAAGTGACACAACAGAATGCTCAAATTATAGAACAATATCACTGATAATACATCCAAGTAAAAATCTGCTTAAGATCATCCAACGACAGTTGCAGCAGTACACTGACAGGGAGCTGTCAGAGGTCCAGGCCAGATTCAGTAGAACAAGGGATATCACTGCTGATGTCTGATGGATCTTGGCTCAAAGCAGAGAATACCAGAAAGATGCTTGTGTTTCCCTGACTATTTCAAAGCATTCGACTGTGTGGATCATAAAAAACTATGGAAAACGTCTGAGAATGGGAATTCAAGAATACTTCATTGTGCTTTTGAGGAACATGTACATGGATCAAGAGGGAGTTGTGCCAACAGAAGTAGGGAGTACTGCATTGTTTAAAATCAGGAAAAGTGTGCATCAGGGTTGTATCCTCTCATCTTACTTAGTCAATCTCTATGCTGAGCAAATAATCAGAAAAATGTGGCATCGGGAATGGAGGAAGGCTTATTAATAACCTGCAATATGTAGATAACTGCTTGCTGAAAGAGAGGAGGACTTGAAGTACTTGCTGATGAATATCAAGGATTGCCACCTTAAGTACAGATTATGACTCAATCTGAAGACCCAAATCCTTACAACTGGACCAACAGATAACATCATGATAAATGGACAAAGGGTTCAAGTTGTTAAAAGATTCTGTCTTGCTTGGATCTATAATCAATGCTCAAGGAAGCAACAATCAAGAGATCAAATTATGTTTTGCATTAGGTTAATCTGCTATTTAATCTTTTGAACAACATCAAAACCAAGCTCACTGCCATCGAAGTCAATGCTGACTCATAGCTGTGTACAGGAGTAGAAAGCCCAGTCTTTCTCCCTCAGAGCTGCTGGTGGTTTCAAACTGCCATCCATGGGGATTACAACCCCTTTATGCCACCAGGGCTCCTGTTACAGACAGACATGTTACATTAGGCCAATCTGCTGCACAATGTCTTTAGAGTATTAAAAAGCAAGAATGTTACTTTGAGGACTAAGGTAGGCCTGACTCAAGGCATGGTATTATTTTTAATTGCCTCATATGTATGTGAAAGTTGGATACTAAATAAGGAAGAGGAAGAATTTATGCATTTGACTTGTGCTGGACAAGAATATTTAAAATACCATGGGTTTCTAAAAGGAGAAACTGGGCTGTCTAGGAAGAAGTACAGCCAGAGTGCTTCTTAAAGGCATACATACTTTGGACAAGTTGTCAGGAGAGACCAGTCTCTGGAGAAGGACATCAAGTTAGGAAAAGTGGATGGGAAGTGGAGAGGAAGGCTCTCAAGGAGAGGGATTGACACCTGTGGCTGTGACAATGGGCTCAGGCATATGAACAATTGTGTGGGTGGTGCAGGACTGGGCAGCGCTTAATTCTGTTGTGCATAAGGTCACTATGGGTCAGAACCGACTCAATAACACCTAACAATAACAACAACAAGAAAGTATGTAGAGCTTCTTTGAGGAGGACCAGGCTTTTGTACCTTTGGAGAGCAGTTTCCGGAATTTCTGTGTGGTTGCTAACTGCAGGTCAGAATCATCAGAAAAGAGCATCTCCACCATCTCTCTTGTGATCACACCCTCCTAAAACATAAAACAAATTTAGGACTCTGCAAATTAACATCAGAGCTGCCGGTGAATACTCAATCTTGCCTAATATCCTGTTTTCAAGTGACCTAAGGGCAAGATGATGGTAAAACACACAGGCTCAGGAGAAGGGGGCTGTTTAAGCCATAGCTACTTCAAGATGGGATAGCTGAAAGTGATTTTTAATCTCCAAGGCAATTGAAGATTTCCCTTAAATATTTTCAGGCATCTCTATCAGAGGTAAATTGTTGTTTACCTTAAGTTGAAACTACAAAAGAGCCTATGGAAAAAGAATTTTGCATGGTTATCATTAGTGCTGCTAAGTAATGAAAACAGTAACAGTCCTGTTTTCTAGAAGTAGGACTTCCCTGCTCTGCTTCAGGCAGTATGCAGGGGGTCCCTTACCCCAGTAGTAGAGCTCACATAGGAGTCCATGAGGAGACTGTCAAACATAGCAGGTTCTTCATTGATCAGCTCAACATTTCTCCGTTTAAAAAGCTGAAAGTAAAGTGAAGACACTGGTAAGATCACCACCCAGTGAACCAAACAAACCAAAACAAAAAACAAGCCAATCACACCCAAAGAATAACCCAATGTCAAAATCTGGAGATAGAGTAGTTGAGAAAATCAGACCCATGATATATTTATGTGTGTTTTGAAGAAAAGGAATAATGATATGGCAAAAGGGTGGGCAAAAGCAGGCTAGGCAAATGAATCTAGATTTGAGCAAGGCACCAAGTAGGGGGTGGTGTGTGTGTGTGTGTGTGTGTGTGTTGTATGCAGATGAGGAGGCATTAGTACAGTCTTAGAGGGTTTACAAAGAGCAGAAATTCAACAGAACAGAAGGCAACCTAGAATAGACCCCTTAAAGAACTAGGACTAGAGTTGGGCTTGAAGGCCAGGCCTAACACTGATTGCAGGACGAAGAAAAGAAAGGCAATAATAGGTTGCTAGAACTAGAATGGAATACTGCACACAAATGCTGTCTAAGCTGGTCTAACTTGTAGAAAAATGATTAGTTCTTCCTCTCAGGGCTTCCAATATTTCTGCTGTAACATACACTGGACAACTGGACCACAGAACTAAACTACTTTCCTGGTAAGGTAAGTGTGCAAGGTGCAGGCCAACTAAGAGGGGGCCTACAAAATTAAGGGAAAAATAAAAAAACTTTGTGAATTTTATGAACCTCACCCCAGCCCCATACAGTGATTGGACCACTCCCATGAACAGTTGAAGTTTGAAAACACTCCAGTAACCCACTTGTTGCTCTCGCTTCTGTTTACGGAGCTGTATGCCCTCTTCCTCTCTTCTTCGTCTCATTTCCTCGGGATTTAGGGCATTATTCTTATAACTTTTCATTCGGTAGTTGTCTTTCCCTGGGCTCGCCATAGTCTCTAGAAAAAGGAGGAAGAAAAAATACATTGGCAAAGGTTGTAAATACATAATAATTTATCCATTTTTTCTTTTGGTATCCTTTCCCAACTTTTTTCTTATAATAAATCTTTTGGAAAGCTGTCAAGTGTTCAGTGGAGGACACAGCTTTCATTTGAAAGCATCAATTATGTTACTGACAATATGCTCCTGACACATTTCATGCAATTAAAAAAATATATATTGTATTGTGTTTTGGTAAGAGTTTAAATAGCTAATTAGGTTCCCATGAAATATTTTCTATACATATTGACTATATTTTTTACATTAAATTAACATTATTTTTAAGTGGTTTTCTTGATATAGTATTCACAAATCATCTGCTTCCATGGTTAAATCTTTTTTTTTACAAACAGGCAAAAGATATTCTGTGTCTTTAGTCATTAGCGATGTGCAAAAAAGCCCACAGTACTACATAACTGACTATTCATCTTAAGAGCTAAAGTGTGCATGATTGAACTCGAAGATGTTGAAAAAATAGAATTCTCGTACATTTTTAGAATTTAAAATGGTAGTCACTTTGTAGTTTCCTATTATCTCTTAAAGTTAAACCTGTATTTAACAATAATACTTCTAAGTATTTGTTCAAGAGAAATAAAAATATATGACCGACCGACACCATTTTTGTTTATAGAAGTTTGTTTGCAAGTGGGTTAAATCACTTTTAAATTAAGTTGTATATACATAACCAGAATCAGTTGTATATACACAATCACAATCCAGTGCTCCCCACTCCTGATTCCTTGTTTGCTTCCCAAATCCCCTCACCCTCCCTCCACACCCCCATAAGCCTTTGCATCAGTTATTATCTCTATGCATCTACTCCTCCCATTTCATGCCATCTCTGAGAAATGTTTGCCAAAACCTAAGTTTGAATATCTAGTTTGTCATCCATTTGTTCAAGTAAAGACAGTGTGGCTAGTTTAGCTTGTGACTTACCCCACAATTGTTTTTTCTCAGACCCGTTTAAGGGTGGAATCTGTATTTATTCATCAAGAACATTTTTAAAAATTAAACTAACATTTTGTAATAATGAGTCAGCAGTGTGAAGAATACAATGACTACTGGTGCTGTTTGATACCACAGGCTTGGTTCTGTTAAAGGATCAGCAGTTTTACTAACCATTGTATTGCAGTGTCAGTGCAAATGTCAACACAATGAAAATGCCAAACAACACCTCAGGATTAATCTCTCCACTTCCACAGCCCTCTGAAAACATTACAGGGACCCCCTACTTTCCAAGGATGTGCAGACCAGGCTTTGAGAATCCCCCCTGCCCGCATAAAGATACAGATATAGGAATGAACTGTTGGTCTATATAGGTAGATAAATGTTAAATTTGATCAGATATAGTGTCAAATTGTCTAATAAAAAGTATTTTAGAGTAGCTTAACAATGTAAGAGCACCCACGATATGTATCTTGAATAAGGAAAATAAAAGAATTGTCTTTGAATCATGGTGTTGATGAAGAATACCGAATGACTACACCATGGACTCCCAGATGGAATGAAACAGATCTGTCATGGAAGTATAACTAGAATGCTCTCTAGAAATGAGGATGGCAAGAGTTCTTTGCACATACTTTAGAAATGTTATTAGGAGAGACCAGTCAGTCCCTGGGAAAAGACATCATACTTGGTTAAGTGGAGGGCCATTCAAAAAGAACAAGACTCAATGATATGAATTTCCACTGTGACTACAAAAATGGGCTCAAAAATAGTCGTTGTGAGGATTGTACAGAATCAGAAGTATTTTATTTTGCATCAATTCTTCGTCAGTCTTCCTTATTCAGTGTCCAACTTTCACATGCATCTGAAGCCATTGAAAATACCTTGGCTTGGGTCAGGTGAACCATAATCCTCAAAGTAACATCCTTGCTTTCCAATAGTCTAAAAGAGGTCTTGTGCAACCGATTTATTCAGTGCAATGCATCTTTTGATCTCTTGTCTGCTGCTTCCATGAAAATTGATTATGGCTACGAACAAGAAATCCTTGACAACTTCAAGTTTTTCTCCATTTATCATGATGCTACCTGTTGGTCCACTTGTGAGGATTTTTGCTTTTACGTTGTCATAATTCCTTGATGTTTATCAGCAAATGGTTTAAGTCCTCTTCACTTTCAGCAAGTAAGGTTGCATCACTTGATTACAGCAGGTTGTTAATAAGTCCCGCCCATCCGGATCCAGCTTCTCTGATTATCTGCTCAGTATACAGCACAAATGCTATACGTAAGGTTTTCAGCAGCTACTTCCTCCAAAGTGGGCAGCCAATTCCTTCTTTGAAAACTATTCTTAGTCTGGAAGTTCTGTTGAAACATGTATACTTTGGGTGATCCTGTTGCCATCTGAAATGCTAGTGACGTAGCTTCTGGCATCACAGCAACACACAAACCACCAAGTACAACAAGCGGACAGACAAGTAGTGGTGCAACTAATTATCCACCTGGAAAGCAATGGAATTGAATCCTCACCTTATACACACATGATCAAATTTCTGGTAGATACAATACATGTAAAGGGTAACCTCCTAGAGCAGGGGTACTCAAACTTTTTAAACAGGGGGCCCAGTTCACTGTCCATCAGACCCGTTGGAGGGCCGGATTATAGTTTAAAAAACAAACAAACTATGAACAAATTCCTATGCACACTGCACATATCTTATTTTGAAGTGGAAAAAAAAAAGGGCAAAAACACTGGCGGGCTGGATAAATGTCCTCGGCGGGCCGCATGTGGCCTGCGGGCCGCAGTTTGAGGACGCCTATCCTGGAAGATATGAAAGGATATCTGTTTGCCCTTGGGAGTCTTTGGGAATGTGAAAGGAATTGTTAAAGAAGGCGCACCACCATAATTCAAAGGCCTTTCAGGTCTTTTGTCTTCCTTATTCACTGTCCAACTTTCACACACATGAAGCAATTAAAAGCACCCTGCTTTGGTAATGGCAAACCATTGTCCTCAAAGTAATACCTCTACTTTTAAACACTTTGTCTAGAGGTCTTTTGCAGACTTCTCCAATGCAAATGTCATTTGATGTCTTGACTGATGCTTCCAGGGCATTGATTGTGAATACAAGTACAAGGAAATTCTTTACAACTTGAATCTTCTGTGATCATCATGATATTGCTTATTGGTCCAGTTGTGGAGATTTTTTTATTTGTTGAGGTATAATCCATACCAGATGTTGTAGTCTTCATTCTTTATCATCCTATTCTCTTCACTTTTAGCGAGGTTGTGTCATCTGCATATCGAAGGCTGTTAAGGCTGTTAGTCTTCCTTCAATCTTGATGCTTACTTGGTCAAGATCACACACTTGGGTGCACACGTTTTAAGAGTCCTGGTCAGTCAGCAGATGGACACTGGGCCTCCACTCAAGTACTTACTCAATGCAAGAACACATTGTTCTATTAAATTGGCATTCCATGATGCACACCTTCCCGACACAATTGCTGAAGAAAAATGGGTGCATAAGCAAATGTGAAGAAAGCTGATGGTGCCCGGCTATCAAAAGATATAGCGTCTGGGGTCTTAAGAGGCTTGAAGATAAATAAGCAGCCAGATAGCTGAGAAACATCAAAGCCCACATGGAAGAAGCACACCAGACTGTCTGACCATGAGGTGTAGAAGGGACCAGTTATCAGACATCAAAGAACAAAAAATCATATCAGTGGGTGCCCACCTTCTGGATACAATCACTGAAGACAAATGTGTGCATAAGCAAATGTGGTGAAGAAAGCTGATGGTGCCAGGCTATTAAAAGACATACCGCCTGGTGTCTTAAAGGCTTGAAGATAAACATTGAAGATAAACACGCGGCCAACTAGCTCAGAAGCAACAAAGCCTACATGGAAGCACACCAGCCTGTGTGATCACGAGCTATCGAAGGGATCAGGTATCAAGCATCAAAGAACAAAAAAACCGTATCATTATAAATGAAGGTGAGTGCAGAGTGGAGACTCAGAGCCCATTGGTAGGCAACTGGACATCCCCTTACTGAAGGGTTGTGGAGAGGAGATGAGACAGTCAGGATGCAGGGTAGCAATGATGAAACATATAACTTTGCTCTAGTTCTTAAATGCTTCCTCCCCCCTACTATTATGATCCCAGTTCTATCTTACAAATCTGGATAGACCAGAGGATGTACATTGGAACAGATAGCAACTGGAAACAAGGAATCCAGGACAGAAGACCCCTTCAAGACCAGTGGTGAGAGTGGCGATGCCTGGAGGGTGGAAGGAATGTGGGGTGGAAAGGGGGAACTGATTACAAGAGTCTACGTATAGCCTGCTCCCTGGGGGATGGACAGCAGAGAAGAGGGCGGGGGGAGACGTCACAGTGTAACATATGACAAAATAATTTATGAATTATGAAGGGTTCATGAGGGAAGGGGAAAGGGGAGGGAGGGGTAAAATGAGGAGCCATATTAAGGGCTCAAGTAGAAGGCAAATGTTTTGAGAATGACAATGGCAACAAATGTACAAGTGTGCTTGACGCAATTGGATGTATGTGTGGATTGCGATAAGAATTGTATGAGCCCCCAATAAAATAACTGTTTAAAAAGTCCTGGTCAGTAGCATATACTGAGAAAGATAAGGCTGTCTGCTCCTGTCATGGAAACCCTAAGGAGTTTTATTCTATCTGAAAGGGCCGCTACGTGTAGCAATGGATGCAACAGCAGAGAGTCTGCTTTGGGTTTTGTTTGGTGATGCAGTGGGTTAAGTGTTAGGCTGCTTTCAAAGCCACCAGGAGAAAGATAAAGCAGTCTCCTCAGAAGCCTATGGAGTTCTACTGTCCTATTGGGCCCCTCTGTAGGTTGAAATGTATTTGACAGTAGTGGGTTTGGGGGAAGTACGCTTTAATATTCAGAATTTTTGTATCATTGTTATTAAGTGCCAGGAAGAGTAAAGGACCTTCACTTACAATCCAATCCTTCTTTGGTTTGCCATTAAAGAAAGCCCCCCCCCCCCCC